GCTAGTATCTGTTCTGCGCTTGCCACACTTGCCTTTCCATGAACATGTTCTCGGTGCTCTTTGTTGGTAAGAAGCCCACATCAGTGTTGTTCTCTTTAGTGCGGAGGTGAAATCGTGAGTCATTTGACTGATCTGTGTATGTGTGTAGTTTGGTGGAGGACTCCCCCCAGGGGCTCGCAGACTGCACTAATCCTGCTCTCGGTCTGGAGGAGCTGCTGAGACAGCGAGCCACTGAGCTCAAAGGAAAGGAGGAAAGTCAGGTAGGTGACACTGAAGGTTTAGCAAAAGATCCCATCAACTCTGTGAAATGACAATAATCCTAGTCAAATTACTGGTCACATTCATATGTCTTTGTGCCCAACAGGAAGAGCTGGACTTCTGTGAACATTTAAGAAGCATGTGTTTCCATGGTCGGCCATCAGATGACAGTGGGATGGATCGCTAAAATATTTTTTTCACATTTCACCTGCCATGGTAATACTGTACAAAACTGTAACATGGTTGTGGAACAACACACTTGTCAATACTTGCATGTACTCCAGACTTTTACTTTGTAAATTATTGTTGTGCAGGGTATAACTCCTCTGTTTGTTTTTTTAGTCCATTGTATCTTAAGCACAGAATATGTGTTTATATATTTCTCTAATACAAAGCAACTGCAAAAGATGTCGTCCAATTGATTTTTTTTCTTCCTTTTTGCACATCAAATGTTATTTTTTATTTTAAACTTTATTTATTAATTGGGGGAAAAAAGCAGAGTACATTGGTACACCTTTCAGTCACTCTTAAATACATACATCTTTTGGGTTGTCAGTATGCTCATCGATTATGAAATAAAAAAATACACATAAATGATGCTCTGCTTCAGCCTTTTAAAGTGGCAAACATCACAATCAAATGTAATTGAGTACTTTTAAGCATTAAAAAAACATATTTAAACAAACAAAAGAACTTTAAAGCTACAAAGATGTCTCTTATGTTTTGAGAGTGAAAAAGAAACTATGAAACCCAAAAAACGATCTCGTTTAAAGTATAGCACTCTGGTTATGCTTCAGTTTAAAGGCAGTTTCAAAATTAAAACCTCAGGCATCCAGCAGAGGAACTGAGTTAGGACCTCTTCCATTTTGCAAACTCATTTTTGTTTGCTTCTGCTTTTACATCACCGACAGCAATTAGTAGCTGTGCCAGATAATACGTTACCATTACAATACTGTTCCCATGCTCGAGGTTTGGGATCACCTTAAAAAGTTGCAGTGATAAGGCAACATCTGACACAATGAAGCTCAGACTCCCCAACACTGTTGGTGTGTGCCCTGTCCGAATTGCTAATGTTCCCATAAGAGAAATTAAAAAAGTGTAAACAGCCACACCTGGAACTATGAGGTCAGAGTTTGGTGCCTTCTTCAGGGATGGATAAATGTACATATAGAAGGCTGCCCCCACTATGAAAAAAATTAAAGACAGATAAAGTTTCCAGGAGGGAGTTGATTTCTCTGAATATCGGCTTGAAAGGAATGTGAGAGAATACATCAGGTGAGCCATGGCAAAGGCACCCATCCCTGAAAAACAGATGTGAGACACTTAAATTATAAAAACATTATTTACTACCGGTCTGGTCAACACAGGTTAACATGCTAGTGGTAACACCATAGGTTAGTCAAGGAGGGGGCTGACTGTATTTCTAGGAAATGCAGAGTTCTTTGTAATAATTGCTTAACTGATGACAAGAACTTTTCCCGCCATCTACTGTACATCTGACATGCTGTTTAAAGGTACTTAAAAACACAAACAACAAGTCCAATGCTATTACAATTAATACCAATACTGACTACGTGATTTCTTTTATGTAAATTCACCAATGTCCAGAAAAACATTTGATGCAGAACAACAGGCCCTTGTTGAAATACAATGAAATGAACTGATACCATTATCATCTGTGTGACCTTTGAACTGGTTCCAGCGTAGGATACTACTGACACACAACTTTAATTGTTTTATTTAGCTTTCTTTACAGTTTTTTTAATCAAGCAATTTATTGTTTTGTCAGAATAACATTGTGTTATTCTCTTGTTATAAAATGTAAAGAAAAAGTAATATCTAGACACTTCTGCCAAACCAATGTCTGTGTAGCTGGGAGTTCCAAGTGTACTGGGCAGTAGTTAGTGAGAAACATCAGTTTAAAACATATACTACACACTCTTTTAAAAGTAAACTACACGTCAAAACATACATATATTCTTGTCTGTTTCCATCCCACAAAAAGGATTTATAACCTTTAATAATGAGCCATTTCCTGGTGCACTGATGCTGCCCCGCCCTCGTCTGTTTCTTACATTTTAATGAAAGCTCATTAACTGTAATTAAAAGCTTTGCGTTATTTATGTTTTTGTTTTTTTCCTGTACAGCTATGAGGATCACAGTGGTAAAAGCATCAACAAAACTGTATTTTTTTTCCCAACCTCCTTTGTGTGATGCACTCACTCACCATGTATAAAAAGGTCAGACCAAACCAAACATGCGTCGCCAACAGCTGAGAAGATGAGCCCTCCTGCAACTCCCAGCAGGCTCTGACCTCCATTCCAGCTGACAACCACTGCAGCCAGGAGTAGAGCTGGTGCTGACTTCACACCTGCACCAATGATGGAAGAAGGGGAGTCAGGAGTCCGAAGGTAGAAATACAGGGCTGCGGACAGAAAGAAGGGTAAGAGGTAGAAGAGAAGGGCGCAGGACTGGGAGAGGAAGAAGAGAGACAGAGAGACATGTCAAAACCTTAAAACATGAAATCAGAGTTAGTAAAAAAACAACAAATACACGTTTTGTTTCTCACCATGTTTCTCCTTTGCCGTCTGTCATAGGCAGCTGTCTCAAGGATGTCCATCTTCTTGGATGAGATTGTTTTAGTCCCTCGTTGTTTACCACCAGATATAATCCACAATGCTCTGGACCTGTTCTCCTCTCCGCCTCACCTCACTCCTCTGCCGTGTCTCCCAGTTTGCCGTCACGGCAATGAACTTTAGACTGATTCAACTCTGATTGTTCTCTGATAATCAATGACTGTTTTGAGTTTTCATGGTCAAACAGCTGACCTTTGACCTCTCCAGTTGGAATACATCGCTGACATCAGCACTCGGAGGGCAAAGTTAAAGTGGATGAAAAGTCAAAGCGAAATGCTAATATCTTATTTTCTATTTCATGTCATGTATATTAAGGCATTAATGACAGCAGATCAGTGTGTACTGTACGTAACACCGTCTACATGTCTGTGAACTTTTCACAGTAAAATGTAGTAAACCTGCTTCAGTGCCAAATCATATGTCAACAAACATGTCTCAACACGGAAGTTTAGGATCAAAGAACAATTTTAAAATAAAAGGACGAAAAGATTATTTAACATTGTAATGCTTTTGCTCACCACTGGGCTGCACTGTCACGTTTCTACGACAGGACAGGAGTCTCACTGTCACAGCAGGAAGTTGAAACTAAAACAAACACACCAGAATCAAAGAAGAACACACCTGTGCCTTACACATGGTGGTGATGAAAAAGAGAATAAAAAATAAATAAATAAACAGACTGGAACTAAAATAAACTCTGTCTTCAACACAGTCACACAGGCTCAAGAAAAGACAATTATTAACCATGGCCTGTTCCGGTCAAACTTTGTACTGTGCTTTTCCTACAATTCCTGGAGCTGAGGAGTTGGGAGCTGTGTTTGTGTGGAGGAGACGCTGTGATCTGAAGGCGTGTTGGATTATCGGGTAAGTGGAGCAATAAATGCTGTGAGTGCCGTTCCAATGAGAAGGAGATTGGGGAAGATGAGATATAAAGTAAGTCATTTGCAGGTTTGAGGTTTTTATCAGCATGTTTTATTGTCTGTGTACAGGACATGGCAGCTGAGTCTTCCCTGCTGAGGATCGGAGTTGTAGGATATGGACATTTAGGTTGAAACTTGCATGTCAAAAGCCATGACATCAGCCAAAAAGAAGAATCCTTCATGTTGATTATGTAATACTGCATTTTCCTGTGTGTGTGTTTGTGACGTGTTCAGGTCAGTTCTTGGTGGAGAAGATCGTTAAAGAAGGAACTGCTCTTGGTTTGACTCTGGGTTTTGTTTGGAACAGGAATCCTGACAAACTCAAGGGTTTAATTCCTGATCAGCTCATACTTAAAGATTTATCACAATTTGCAGACAGGTGTGCATTCACACAACTACGTACACACACACACACAAACGCTCTAAAATATATCCACACACACATTTATGAATTACCGTCATTATGTGACACCATGTTTCCTCTGTGCACCATTTGCCTGATGATGTTAAACGTTGGATAACCTCCACATGTGTTCTACAGGAGCTGTGATGTAATAGTGGAAGTGTGTCATCCTCAGATTGTCCAGGAATTTGGACCGAGCTTCCTGTCTCTGTCTCACTTCATGGTGAGATTTTTGGGTCGTGGCTACACACTTTTATTTTTAAAAACCTAGTCATCAGTGATAAATTCCACTTGCAGGAAGGGGACTACACTTCCTAATGTGTCACAAAAACTGAAGTAACTGAAGTACAGATAGAGTCATGTGATCATGTGTGTGTTTTTCTCTTGCCCCAGGTTGGTTCTCCCTCTGCTCTCGCTGATCCTGACCTGAACAAGAAGCTCCGTCATGTGGCCCAGCAGTCCGATAAGACACTCTACGTTCCCAGTGGTGCATTATGGGGAGGCCAGGACATTCAGCGGCTGAATGACAGTGGGACTTTAAAGGTTAGTGCAGAAGGGCAAGAACATTCAGTTGCTGCTTTTTAATGTGACAGCGTCAGTAAATACAGTCCTCTAAAATGATTCAACACCTGTTGCAGAACAGGTTTAATGGCAGAATTAAAAAACGCCAATTATTTCGAAAAGAAACAACTCAAACAAAGTGAATTTAAATAGCTCTGAGTAATACTTAATTCAAGATTGAACAAACATTAGCATATGAGGTGATGCTCCTTGTTTTTACAATTTCCACTCAAAAATGTAGGATCATATGGACAAACCGTTGTATATAACTATAATAATCATTTCTTTCTCTTTACTTCTTTCTTCAGGCCTTGTTTATTAGAATGTCCAAACACCCTTCATGCTTCCGGCTAACAGGGGACGTCCTCTCAGACTGGACAGAGGGAGAGGGCAGGCGGGTTTTATTTCGGGGCTCAGTGGCAGACCTCTGCCCTCAGGCTCCCAACAACGTAAACACCATGGCGGCGGCAGCAGTAGCAGCGGGAACACTGGGCTTCTCTGGTGTTCAGGGGGAGATTGTGTCTGACACAGCGTGGGTACTCCTAACGCCGGACTAACCCTACAGTATATACTCTTTGTCACATGATGTACGAGTTATTACAGCCTCAGCTCCATCATGCCACAGGTTAAGCGACTACCATGTGGTGGAGGTGGAGGTGACCGGCCCTGGAGGCTTCTCTGTACACGCAGTGAGGAGGAACCCAGCCAAACTTGGAGCTGTGACTGGCAGCGCTACTTACAACTCCTTCTGGAACAGTTTACTCAGTGAGTCAACGTCCACACTAACTGTAGCTCGACCTGAAAGAGTATCAGGCAAGGATTACATAAAAGAGACCATAGAATTATCTACAGACAGTATTTATTCCTCCCTCATTAACAGTGGTTCTAGTATTAACTTATATGACATAGGGCCGCAGTCATAAAGCAAAGATTAAGGTGCAGTATAGGACGTTAGCTTATTAGCGTAAGCTTAACCTAGCCAAGCCACTAAAAACTGACTATTAAAAGTTTTATATCTAAACTATATAAAACGTGTAATCTTGTTTTTGTTTTTTTTTGGGTGAAAAAATCACTTGAAAAAAATCATTTGAGGTGAGAATTTAACCCTCATTTTCTCTCTTTCTCCTACAGTTTGCAAAGGTCACGGTGGCCGTGTTCACTTGTGCTGACGCCTGTTTCTCACCCTGAAGGATTTGCCTATTTTTATGGTGAAACACTGTATTCGCTATTCAACATATGTGTGTACTAATAAAGTACATTCACAAGAAAAAGAAAAAGGCAGTTTTTGTTGATTGTAAAATATTTAAATATTTAAACTTTATTATAAGTTCATCTGTTGTGAATGGGGAAAATAAAATGCTAATCGTGAGTGTAGAATGTAGGTTTTTGCTTTCAGTTTGAAGCGTGAAACATACATCAGATCAACTTATCATAAATCTCCCTTTTTGTCATACATCTCTCTTTTTTTAAGCACTTTCCTACCGCTTTTGTTTCAAAAATAAATGCATGCATCAACGGCCATCATGGAAGACTGTGATGTAGAAACCACACAATGCCACTGAATTTGTTGTTTTGTGTGTGAGATAGTTTCACTTTACCTCCACTTCACAGACAGAGTATTATCGTCACACCAAACATTCTAGTTGTCTGAGGCTACACACGTTTATACGAAGATGTTCCTACTTCTGTGTGTAAGTATACATATTATCTTCTAGACTCACAGTAATACACATAAATATCTATGTATGTAATCCAGTGTTACTGCACTGGGGTATCCAGCACTTTGTGTCATCTTTAATGTTGTTAGTAAGCTCAATGTAGCCATTGTTATTACTCCACAGTGTGGCAGCCCTCTGCCCTCAGGCTCCCAACAACGTAAACACCATGGCGGCGGCAGCAGTAGCAGCGGGAACACTGGGCTTCTCTGGTGTTCAGGGGGAGATTGTGTCTGACACAGCGTGGGTACTCCTAACGCCGGACTAACCCTACAGTATATACTCTTTGTCACATGATGTACGAGTTATTACAGCCTCAGCTCCATCATGCCACAGGTTAAGCGACTACCATGTGGTGGAGGTGGAGGTGACCGGCCCTGGAGGCTTCTCTGTACACACAGTGAGGAGGAACCCAGCCAAACTTGGAGCTGTGACTGGCAGCGCTACTTACAACTCCTTCTGGAACAGTTTACTCAGTGAGTCAACGTCCACACTAACTGTAGCTCGACCTGAAAGAGTATCAGGCAAGGATTACATAAAAGAGACCATAGAATTATCTACAGACAGTATTTATTCCTCCCTCATTAACAGTGGTTCTAGTATTAACTTATATGACATAGGGCCGCAGTCATAAAGCAAAGATTAAGGTGCAGTATAGGACGTTAGCTTATTAGCGTAAGCTTAACCTAGCCAAGCCACTAAAAACTGACTATTAAAAGTTTTATATCTAAACTATATAAAACGTGTAATCTTGTTTTTGTTTTTTTGTGGTGAAAAAATCACTTGAAAAAAATCATTTGAGGTGAGAATTTAACCCTCATTTTCTCTCTTTCTCCTACAGTTTGCAAAGGTCACGGTGGCCGTGTTCACTTGTGCTGACGCCTGTTTCTCACCCTGAAGGATTTGCCTATTTTTATGGTGAAACACTGTATTCGCTATTCAACATATGTGTGTACTAATAAAGTACATTCACAAGAAAAAGAAAAAGGCAGTTTTTGTTGATTGTAAAATATTTAAATATTTAAACTTTATTATAAGTTCATCTGTTGTGAATGGGGAAAATAAAATGCTAATCGTGAGTGTAGAATGTAGGTTTTTGCTTTCAGTTTGAAGCGTGAAACATACATCAGATCAACTTATCATAAATCTCCCTTTTTGTCATACATCTCTCTTTTTTTAAGCACTTTCCTACCGCTTTTGTTTCAAAAATAAATGCATGCATCAACGGCCATCATGGAAGACTGTGATGTAGAAACCACACAATGCCACTGAATTTGTTGTTTTGTGTGTGAGATAGTTTCACTTTACCTCCACTTCACAGACAGAGTATTATCGTCACACCAAACATTCTAGTTGTCTGAGGCTACACACGTTTATACGAAGATGTTCCTACTTCTGTGTGTAAGTATACATATTATCTTCTAGACTCACAGTAATACACATAAATATCTATGTATGTAATCCAGTGTTACTGCACTGGGGTATCCAGCACTTTGTGTCATCTTTAATGTTGTTAGTAAGCTCAATGTAGCCATTGTTATTACTCCACAGTGAAAACCCCTTAGCTTCCCTGCTGGTGTAACTAAAAAAATACCGTCAGCATACAGTCAAAATGACAGCTATTGTTTTTGAACCCAAAAACTCACGAGGTATGAAAATGTTGGGAAGATACTGACACTGATGCAGATTTTTTTTTACAAAAAGCCAATATTCAATGTATCATTTGCTTTGCTACAGAATCTCTACAGGTAGCTGTTTTGATGTTTACTAGAAGGTTACTAGTGAATTTCAGAATGTGTTGCATGAATTGTACATATTGTTTGTGTGTATGTGGGTGTGTGTGTCAGTTTTTCTCATCGATCACACCATTGCTGTTCCCGTTGGCCCCATGCACAGAAGACTTATTTTTGAACGGCATGCTAAAGGGCTGGCGAATGTTCACTCGGTCTTTCTCTGCCTCCAGATCCTCATCATAGCGCTCGTCTTCGTCGTCATCCTCGGCTTCGCTGTGGTGAGGAGAAGAATGGCGCGACAATGCTGGGGATGGAGGCACAGAGGCAGGCCGGGGGTAACGGAAGCCTGACGTCTAAGGTTTAAAAAAAAAAAGTGTGAAAAGTTGTTTAGAGTATGAAGCAGCTGAAACGACTTTGTCTGACTCTTCAAGGACACAGGACTGAACTTACTGATGTAGGATCATGAGGGACATAGATGTAAGTGTCGGGGAAGGCTTTAGCCAGGGCCATGTGACGGGCAGCCACATAATACTAATAGGTAACAGAAACAAGAAAACATTAACATCTTTAAGTAATACCTGATAAACAATTAATTGTGAATATAAAGTGTGCAGTTATTCATTTTTTGAAAACAAAAGAGTTGTAAAAAAAAAAGGAACCGTCTCAAAATCTTTCAGCAAAACTCCATGTATTTTCTTGCAACTTTGTGGAAGGGGAGTTATAGCACACATCAACATCAACATCAACATCACCTGCTAGCTAACTTTTGTCTTATATACAGTGGACAGGGTCAAATGTATGAGGTGTTCTCATGACGTATTCGAATTCATTTAGATTTATACAAAATACCAATTTGTATCAACCAACTAAACACGATGACAAGGGCATTCAAACTGGCGTTAGAGCACCCCCTGTTGGCAATTAAGTGGAGAAACATACACTACACTCGATGACCGTCTACTCCATTGTTAAGTGTTGGTATCCTCACCCTGCCCAGGTATCTCCAGTCCAGGAGGTCACTCAGGCGCTCAGTGCGATTCCTCTGGATGATCCTCTGGCGACGGCTCTGTTTGCAGAACTGGAACAGGAAGGATGTGAGCTGGTTACAGGACTCGTCTACCCCTCGGTACCGCCTGTCCAGGATGTAAATACCTGCAAAGAAAAAAACAGCATGATATAAAACAGAACCAATCATCCAGAAATTATTTTTATTTTTTTTAAATCAACTCCATGAACAAAGATGCATTTTAACCATTAAAAAAACAACAACAAATAAACACACCATACGCTGTGGGGTCTGCTATGTGTTCCTCCATGAAACAGCCAAAGCCGGACAGGTTGGTGGAAATCGATGGAATTCCCATGACAGTGCACTCGGCTGATAATGACATATGTTTAGAGACCAGGTATTTCACTTTGATACATAGTATATTTAAACGTGGTGTTAGAGGAGGAAGTCGTACCAGGAGTATAGCCCCATGGTTCATAGTAGGAAGGAAAGACACCAAGATGGCAGCCACGTACAAACTCCTCATAATCCATTGGTAGTAATGGAGAAGTTGATGACAGGAACTCTGGATGGAAGATAATCTAACACAGAAAAAATATTTGAGTATACACCTTCCTTAAATAATAATTATATATTTATCATACCTCTCCTAACTTTAGAAAACATTGCTACAATCCTGCAGCTTTTAATTCCCTATTTAAACAAACAAACAGATAAGTAGTAACAGTAGTACCTTGACTCGGTCAGAAGCACTGTTGAAAAGGCCGATGCGACGAACAGAGTTGAGGATGGGATCACTGCCGTCGTCCAGCATGTTGTGGGTACAGATTGGAGGTTGGCTCTGTCTCTGGGTGGCAAAGATGGCCCGCTTCATGATGGTGAAGTCCTCTTTGTCCAGCATCTTTGATACATCTGGCAGCTGCCCACTTAGGAAACAGAGACACTGTGAATGTCTTTATGTTCACTTACCCAGAGCTTAAAATGAATAACAGTACTGATGAATTTTCTTTAGTAATGCGTCAGATTTAACAAGAATACATACACTAAAAGTGATTCGTAAAGTTTTTTTCCAAAGCGTTCCTTCACCGTATGAGCGGTGTCCCTGATGGAGAGAAAAAAAACAACAAACTTATATAAATAGATTGTCTTACTCAAACCAAACTTTGTTTTAAATAAAATTAAACCTCACCACAGCTGTTTCCTGACTGCCTGGCCCTTTAAAGTCTCAACGTTGAAGTTGTTTGTCCGAGCTGGCATGATGAAAAACGCAATGACCGTCACATCACTGTGGTTCACCTGTAACAGATATGGCAGGAAAACACTCAGGTCTGGTTTTTAAATAATTTCTTCCAACTGATCGGAGGTTTCACAGGAGAGAACTAACAAAGACTTACCCTCAGGAGATAGTTGAGTCTGGCCAAAGCTTCCAGGAAGATGTCAGCACCTTTGTTGGAGAACTCATACCTTCCAGCGATGAACAGAAACAAACACTTGTCCAAGTTGAAGTCAAGGTGTCTAGAAATGAAACCAATGAGATTAAACTGTTAGAATATGATAGAAATATGAAGCTCAGAAATGTTTTATTTTTTCTTGTTGGAAAACTGTTGTTCCTGACTTAACTACATGTAAATATTCTCATTCACCCCGTGACTGGGACGAATGACAATGTATGCAGACATGTAACATTAGCCCTAACACAACCTGCAGATGCTGCAGTTTGGACTTTGTTGTGATATGGTGTCATGTGTCACCACTGTGTGGTCCCTGACCCGTAGAAATGTCCTCTGATGAACTCCTGAATGCGACTCTTGCTCTGAGCGTGGAGATTTTGAAACTCGTGCATGGCTGAGAACTTTTTCACATTGAGGCCATTGGGAGTAACAATGTCTGTGAGTCAAACACAAAAGCGTCAATAAAAAAGTATGACCTAAGGTCAAGTCTCTGGATCATGTCCACAGACATTCTGTAGTACAACGAACCTGGTTTCCTCTTCAGCAGGTGTTCTGCCTCCACGGCTGTAATATGCGACACAGTGGTGAAGACATGGGCGCAGTGTGCGGCCGCCCGTTCTAAACAGTAGCGATGGTAGATCTGTCTATCTCCTGCTTCCTTGTCCAGATTAAACTGAACGGATGACACAAAAATAAAACTCACTAAAGAATCATGATTCCTTGTTAAAATTGTGGTTCTGTGTAAAAAAGTTGTCCACATCTAAAAACAAACAACAAAAACATACCTCTGAGAGATTATTATAAAAGTCCACATTCCCTGCACACAAGTATCGCCCCAGTAGAGTAGCGTGAGTGGTGAAGATGGTTGCAACAGGAAGATGTCTGTGTCTGCACAACACCAGTCCCAGACCGGCCAACCACTCATGGAAGTGGGCCACAATGTGTGGAGGCTCCTCACATTGAGCCGCGTACTGTGATGAAACAAAACATAACCATAGAATAATCCCATGTTTTTCAACCTTCGGGTTGCAAATACACCTGGGGTCACCTGGAATTCAAATATGGTCGCCTGAAATGTCTAAATTATGATTAAATACAGCATACAATCTTAAAAAGAAGTATTCTTTCACTTTCAGGAATATAAACCAGGTTCAAATTAAATGCAGCATATAAAAATATTTGAGCTAGCGTATCTCAATTGACGGATTTGATCACAAGACTGCACAAGTAACAGCTACTAAAATATCTCTGTGGTCGTCAGAACTTTTAATACCAAAATGGGGATACAAGACAAAAAACCACTGGGTCATTGTCAGCCAATAAAAGACAGCATTTTAGATATTATGAATGGCTATAATTCAACTGCGTACAAATCATGTCCGGTATATGAAGCTGCTGACCTCTCCCAAAAGCCAGGCGGTCAGGAAGCCAAACAGTACAGCATCATTGGCTTCACGGTCAAACCAAGGCACGCCGATGTCACAAAGTTCCCAAAGTTCGCTCTTCCATCGGTCCAGGGACCAGGCAGTAAATCCCACATCAATCAGAACAACATAGGGGCTGCCTTCAATGAGCCAGCGCCCAAAGTAGACCTGCAGGTAAATAATGGAAGGACAGGTGAAAAAGGTTTCTTGTTATTTTATTTTTTTAATGAGGAAATTTGAACCTAAAATGTGAAGAGGGTGTCCAAAGAAGAATCAATTTTAAAACATGGTAATGTGAATGAATTCATTCAAAGCTTGTGCTAGTAAAGACAAATTTCAGACCAGACATTTTTATATTTTACAAAACTGTCTAATGAAAAATACAATAAATAATAATACGTACCAGCTTTAAAAAAATGTTTCAAAAACTACAATCAAACCTGTTGCTCGGGAATTCTTAACAATGCTGTTACAAATGAATAATTTACCACAAACGTGGTTTGTCCAAGTTTTGGACACACAGAATCCCATGGAGAAAAAGGAAAATGAAACCCACTGTGGGGTGATGCAACTTATCACCACCACCTGGCTGGGACTGGTAGGCAGTTGTGTCACATGAGCACATGTACTGGACACATTCAGTGTCAGCTGTCATTTATGAATCTTCACTGACCTTGAAGAAAGACACGCTTCTATTCAGCAGTTTACATTTGGAGAGGGTTTCTGAACATAATGGCTTTATGTGTGTATATTTGTGTAATTAAATCAACAAATCAACCCATCTTATTGTCTCACTCTCTCTCTTTTAGGCTACGTGTTTGTTTCTTTAATATAAAATGTCCTCACATTGTCTCATCGGATCAATGTGTATTTGATTTTAATCAGGGCAATAAAAAATAAACTGAAATCTCCTGCAACACTAGCTATTGTGTTCATGTGTGAACCAGTAATGGAGATAAACTGTGATATTCCAGGTAGGCTTGAAATAAAAGGATGGACTATCTTATTAAAATACATCAATCAACACAACCATGGCTGGCCTTGACCCATAATTCCTCAGCAGTCCCACAGTGACACAGCACAAAGCCCTTAAACTATCACACACACACATGGACAGTCATCTATTTCTGTCCCGTGTCCATGTGGAAAACAGAGACGCTGATACAACCTCTAACCTTTGAAAGGAAATGTCACGGTGTTTTTAGCTGTGGCTGAGGACAGAAGGTGGAGCAGAAATACCACAGACTGTCAGAACCAGCTCTTCTATGAACTCATCTCAGTCCAGCTGAGAACAGCTTCTCTGTTCACGCCAGTTTCAGTCCTCACACTCAAGAGTGTGAGTTTGTGTGTGTGTTTACACTGTATGAATGGCAGTACCTTACATCCACTGGAGTTCATTTTGTCAATGGTTCTCTTCAGTGTGGGGTTGGTGGGCTCGATTAACTCCACCTGTGTGCGCACGTTGCTTTCCACGTAGGGACCCACCAGGAAATAGTTCTCCCCCCATTCCTCTGCGGTCAGACGGGCTTTGGTTTGGATGACAGTGTAGATGCCGCCAACTTCACGTGTGCAGCAAAAGTGTCAAAAGTCAAAACAAAGATACTGTGTCATCCAGCGGTGTAAATACACAACACTCGACAGAGAATATGGATTAAAATGTCATAAAACTGACTGTTTTTATTAACTTTTATTAAATTTTGTGTATTTAATTCTATAAATATACAAGTCTTTTACTGTATTTTTAACTGTTATTAAAATGAAAATCATTTGCTCAAGTACAAATTACATCTTCCACCTTTTTTTTTTTTTACATTTTACTGAACAAAACAAGACCTTTTTTTTATTATTCTTACACACACACACACACACAAAACATGTAAAAGAAAAAAAAAACACATACCTTTATTTGCAACCTCCCAGGCAATTTCAAAAAGAACGGCGTCCTCCAAATCAAACTCTTCGTCCCATTCCTCCAGTCCTGATAGGGACGTGACAGACAGGCTGCGAGCCAGCGGCATCCTGGGTAAACACAGAAACCATTCATCCAAGAACTACATATAAACAAATTGAGTTCTCTCAGAGAGTTTTAACTCTTTGTTCACACAGACTACGACTGAACAGTCTGGGGAGGTACTGCAGTTTAAAAAAAAAAGCAGAAGTTAAATGACTCGCAGGAAGTCGTCAAAAAAAGTAGTTCTTGAGAATTCTAACTTAGTATCAAACTGCCCTCCTTTAGTGACACATTTCTGATTAAAAAAGAGACCTGAAGATGAACCTGAATTTAATTCCTTGATTTACTTTTCAAAATAGTTCATGAATGTTAATTAATGTAATTATTGTAATTATTGTTAAGTATTATTAATAAAACAAAGTACTTAAAGTACTGTCTTTTTTAAAACACTGTTATTTGCTGTAGACAAACATCAATGATCTGACAAGAAATGTTGTCATAAACGAGGTTTCTGAACAACAGGGAACTTTGATTGGGATTCACACAGAAGTGGTTGACAAGGAAACACTTTCTACAGGTGCTCCAACATTTGCTGATCACTGTAAAAACATATTGTTTGTGTTGTAGCCCCTGATAAGAGCTCTCCTCAGTATTCCTATCACTGTGGTTGGGATAATATGTAACGACCACAGGGTTGGTCAGGAGTTTGTCCTACAGCCACAGAATGAGTTGTGTTTAAGAATGTTTGATGGGTACAGTTGAAATAGTCCCTGCCTATAACATCAAAGTTAAAGAAATAATTTATTTAAAACATACAACACATTCCTCTCTTCCCCTCTACATTAGCCTAGCTGTCAGTTGCACAGCTGTTTTTGAATGAAATGTGATGATGATAAAGTAGAGCAGTACTGTAGCTGAAACCAACAGTTTTAAGTGGTTCCTTCCCTATGACTTAAACATGCAGTGCAGTGGTGTTTTGTTAGGAACAGGATCACGTTGTTGATCACTTTTAATAATAAGTTGATCAAATCAGAAACAAAACCTGATTCAACAATATGGTTAAACCTAACAAGCTCACCTGGTAAATTTGGTCTATGTTCTATAAGATGTTCCTGTTTTAGAATACCCAAACATGTATCTACTACAGGTGTATTTTTCTGTGCTTTAGTCAAAAGAATGATAATATTCTGAGTCAAACACAATTCAAACATTGAAACATACTTCGACCATTTCGGCAGTAACCTAAAAAGACACAGTAACCTGTATCTGTCCTCACACCAGTTGCATGCTAAATAAACAAACAAAAGAGAAAAAAAATCAATAAACTCGATGACCAGGTTTCATCATTCATCTGTGTATCTTTCTGGCTGCATGTGCTGCACTGTTTACCATCTGGCATGGTAATGGCCCATGAGAACAAATATATTGAAATATTTTGAGTTTGTATGAAATATGTAAATCCACAGGGTCAACAGACAGATCTACACACTGACTTTACTACAATAACACACAGTAATATGCACCACTTTCCAGAAACTGAATCTGTCTGGCTCTGCTATTTTGAGTCAATGTCAAGTTTTCAAATCCCTACTACTACAAATGTGTGGCAAATGAGTGGCTAATACCTTAATGACTCTAGTATTGTGACACCTCCAAAGTGAACAGCACCCAGAAAAAACAGGCCGACCTGATGAATGGGCGTTCTCTATACAGACTGTTCCTCTGAGTATGTATATTTATTAACTGAGGCACGCTCCTAAGAAGGAGATGCCTCACAAGTCATTCTCCACAGGATTCAGGTTTCCACATCACATCACAGGAACGGCCTGTGCAGTCAGACAATCATGCTCTTACATGCACGTTGTCAACTGAAATCTGAGGTCAGCTTCCTGTACCAACAGCAGAATGTGGAAACAGTGCAAGTCTGGTTTCACAAGGGCTAAAGGGCTAATACAGAATCATACTGGTAACAATAAAATTACTGACTGATATATATGAGATTTAGGGACAGAATACATCCCTATTTTATCAGTGCCTTAAACTCCTTTTTCTTTTCTTTTTGGCTAGGCTAAACTTAATATTTGTTACTTTATATTTATAGTTACATTATAGCTAACTTTTAGCTCTGAGTGTACTTAGCCACAGCTAAAATAGGCTATATACAGTAATTCTAAAATAAAAACTTGTACTTCATTCTTTCTTTTACAGTTATGAGGCCATGTCATAGATACTGTGCATAAACCAATTGCTATTGTCACTGTTCTAAGGGGACCACTTAACTGTGGAGTTTGACCCAGAGTTATGTAAAGATCAAACATCAGGCAAAAAAAGAGCTCAACAAGCACTTTCTCAAATAGACATTGAGTCAATGTCACAATGACAACATCTGGTCCTGTCCTAGTATTTCAGCCGGGATCACCTGAGGTACTGGTCTCAAACACCAGTAAAAATATTCTCTGAATGGTACAGTCACAGTATCAATTGTACAGTCACAGTATCAGTGGTACAGTCACAGTATCAAACTAACTAGAGAACAATAAAAGCCAAGTACAGTGACAAAAATGTGACATGTACAACACTTTATGAAAAAAAAAGTTGAACGTATCGCTAGGTATGTTATGATAGTGTATAACATATATACTGTTACCAATGTAATAAAACAAAATAAATATTTTATATTGTTTAAAATGTGCATTATCATTACGAATGATATGGGTTTTTTATCTTTTAGTTATTTTTTAAAAATTAATTTTTGAATTATTATTATACAATCCAGTGGGCCTACAGGTTCCACAGGGACAGAACCAGAGCTTCCACAACTCACGTCCCAAAACCATGCCAGGGACAAGGACGCAAAGCTCGGCCACATTTTGTGCTGTGGTCCGTGGACCTCATGTATCCTATAAAATAGACAGTATATTTGTCGGTCGTGTGTTCACCCTGCTCTAATGCGCATCATCCTATGAGATCAGATGGGCTGTAAGGCGAACGTGACATCAAGCACCTACTGTTGAAACCCTGCTGCTGCTGAAGCTGCTGCGGGGACGCGCAGAGGACACGGAGTCCCGATGCGCGTACACGATCGTAGAGGAAGTACAGGTTGTTCGCAACAAAGCTAAGTTCAGGTAAAATACATAAATATCTACTCACCCGTAGGCTTTTCCCAACTTCAGCAAGACGAACTAAACATCAGCAGCTGTCGCAGTCTATCCACACAAACAAGACTTCAGCTGAGAACGTGTGTCTGTGTGTGTGCGTGGGAAAAGGGGGCGGCGGCTTCACTTAAAGACATAGTTTACTTTTTTTAAAAAGCGACTAACGTTAGTCTGCAGCACATGTTGTCTGTATTATTGTTAAAATGCCACATTACAATATTTAGTCTTTAGTCTAGACTATTGCTAACATCACCAGCTATCATTTGCCGCTAGGCTCTTACGGACTTGGTGTTCAACATTTCCCAGAAGTCATTGCACATCTAATGCAAGAATCATTTGAGCAGATATTGGACAATTTACCCTAATTGGCAAGCGACTCATGTTCTGCTTAACAACATTTATTTAAGCAGAACTAAATTTTGCATATTAAGTGACTCAGCCCTTGTAAACAGTGTGCAGCTGATGTGTGTTGCAGAAATTAATAAACCACAAGATGCATTTCCTTTTCAAGATGTCTGCAATGCATTGGCAAGGGTTTAAATGAACACATTTATTAAAGGTGAATAAGAGATATAGTGTAAGGATATTGGAAGCTTACGCTGGAAGTGATTTTATGAGACGTGTCCTGGGCAAGTGATTAAAACAGCTTAACCCAGTGTCTCTGTTGGGAGCCAAGTTTGTAGTCTATGTCTACGGCTGGTCCTTGTCCTTAGTACTCAGCATGAATCTTATTAGTCCTATTCAACCAAACCTTAATTAGAAAACCTGAACTGTTGTCTTAAGTCTGATTCACTCTGGTTAAATGTGTTGGTTGCTTTTGTAATGCTTTTGTTGGTCCTGAGTTGCTGCTGTCAAATTATTAATGAGTTTTGGCTTTGTCACCTGTTTATTGTGTGTCTCTGTCCACTCCCTAAAGGAAGTGGGTGTTTTCCTCTTATATGCAACTCTATTGGCTGAGCAAAGATACCAGGTGGTTTAATGGTTGGTGGATCATTTTTTACAATCTATTACACAAATACCATTGACGTGTATTTGTTTTACTCCAACAAGAAGTGCATAAACGCCTCAGAAGACTTAAGTCTAACTAATGATGGTGCCATCCAATAAGGCTGCAGCATTGTTGCTTATAGCTGAAGTTGTAAAACCAGACACAGCATGTTTTTGGTATGTTAACAATCCAAACAAATTAAAACTGCTCCACCCACATGAACCAAGTGCAAACAAATCCACAAGGAAGAAGGGGAAAATGACAGCGTGTGTAAGGGTATTTAGTAGTGGGCATTAAAGGGACACAGCGTTTTCTTCCCTTTTTTGATGTAATTAAAATTAGCAGCTCTGTGACGTGCATGAATGAAGGAAGAGGGCTTGGATGTCCTTTGTTTTTGTGTTCTGCATTGTATGATTTAGATTGTTTCTTTGGATTGGTCAGTCAGGTCTGGTCATGCCAATGGTGACAATTACTCACCCCAACATAAAACCCTACCCCTAAGAGAATATTCAAGTCAGTTATATGTGCAAATTTATTCATCTCTTTATATTTCTAATTATACATTTTCCTTAGTCTTTATTGACAGACATTGGTTTACATCCTCTGCTTGGGCGATAGCATTTTAACTAGTACTTTTCGTTTTCTCTAGTTTTATATATAAAATCAATCTATTACTTATTTCCCTCTAGTCGTGCGCTTTTCCCTCCTTTATTGTTACGTATACAGTGACGCGATTTTGCCGGATCTAACAAAGCATAAGGATCCGACGAACCGCGTTTCACTTCCTCCTTATTTACAACTGCGCTCCCGCCTTTTGTGTGATGTCACTTTCGTATCCCTAAACACAGAGCCCAGTAACAGACCGGAAGTGATGCGCGCTCTCGCTGGTGAAAGTTCACGACTTAAAGAAGTGTGGCGGGAGCTGTTGTCAACAGGGGCTGCATTGGAGAAGCGGCTTCGATTACAAATCGATCGGTTAGATTCGTGACCATCTGATAAAACTGGTGTTGGCAAGTTTCATTAAAAGGTCAGTGTCAGGTTGATAAACATTTATTGGGCACAGTTGTGTGTTTGTTTACCATCGACATTGCTAGCTCTCTGCACCGCAACAAAAAAGTACGTTTTAAGTAAAAACAACATGAACATTACTGCTGAAATATGAAATAGTCGTTAAAGAAGTGTAAATAGTACACTTTTCACACACTAAAAAGCCACGATAAA